TTAACCTGAGCCTGCGTCTCTTCTGTCATGTTACATACAACACTCACCTCATAGGTATAAAGTGCCTGGCCCCTAGCAGGCTCTCGGTAGTAGCTATTACTGTTTCAGATAGGAGAAGACTGCTCTTAGTTTCAGATCTAGCCCACCTACTGTTGTAAAGCCCTTCTCTGAAATTCTGTCTTTTATTTGTGTCCATGAAAGCTTTGTTTAAAAAAAAAATTCCCTGTTTTCTGATGGTTGTATATCCACTTGAGTTGACTGAGCTTTACCTGCATTTGTAAGTGATGGTAGATTATTTGAAGATATGCTGCAGCATCACATTTTGGGTTTTTTATTTTGTTTGGCTGCTCGCACTCTCCTCACCACTATCATCTTCTTGCTATCCACAGGGCAACTGCCCAGAGTGGAAATTTGTCGCCATCCATCCTCTACCCCTATATTGTTGAGCTGTGCGGCCACAACATTGCTTTGATGCCCAGACACTAGTTATCCCAGATGGTGCTTTGCCCTTTATTTAATGGTAATAAGCCAGATATGGTGTCTCGTTTCTTGCAGACGTATTAAAGGCTATCGTCCATCTCTGTACCTCTGCAGAAACCCAGTGTGATCAGAAACCTAATTGGCCACAGTGGTACCCTGTTGTTGCTTCTGCAGGATGCTGCTCTGTTTACCAGTTCATCATGAGACAGTGCACTGCTCAGGGCGGCTTTCAATTCAGTGTTGCTGATACATATATTTGGCAGGACTAGCCTCTGTGGTAGGATTTGAGGAATTCAAAAAGGCTCCTGGCCCAAGTATATCTCCCTCACTGGTCACAGTGCCTGAAACGCATACCAGAAACATTTCACATGAACTTTCTTTCTTGGGTGTAAGGCAATGTTAGAATGCAAATGCCACTCTCCAGAGGGAAGATACTGAGTCATTATCAGCTATTAATACTTAAAGCCAGCACAGCACTGGCATCCTGATTCTGTTACTAGCTGTATGAGCTTAGGAGTTTGCTAATTCTCTCTGAGCCAGTTTCTTTTTCTGAAAATGGGGACCATAATGAATGGTTGTGAGAATTAAATGAGATAATGCATGTAAAGTAAATGCTCAATGAACAATAGCTGTTACTGGCCTTAGGTACAGGTGGACCCCAGTGGAACACATCTAGGACTGGTACATTTGATTGGAGGGTCACGAATAAGGTGAAGCCTAGTACAGGGAAACTGCTCAAAGCAAAAGCCATGGTGGAGCAGCGATACAGCCAGGGAACCGCATGGAAACCCTGGGAAGCTGGGGTTGAAAGAGTTGAGTGGGAGGAAGAGGAAGGATTGAAACAAAGTCACACTATTTTTGCATGAACCTTCCAACAGGAAAAGTGTAATGCCACTCAGGATGCAACGCTCTGTGAGGTAGTAAGCTCTGACACGGGGAATGTTTAAGCAGAGGCTGGTTGCTGGCTACCCATCAGGAATACTCTAGGCTATCCCAGTGCTTCTCAGATGCATAAAAAATCACCCAGGGATCTTATTAAAATGCAGATTCTGAATCAGCAGGTCTGCGTGGGACCTGAGATTCTTCACTTCCCACAAGCTTGCTGATGATACTGATGCTCCCAATTAACAGATCTCATTCTTAGTAGCAAGTCTCTGTTGCCATGTGAAGATAAATCACAGCGAGACAGAGGGATACCGTCTGGGAAAGCCAGAGAGTTACGCAGACAAGGCTCCATAAAGTGGGAGGCCTTGGATGCAGTTATGATCTACCGTCTGGTTCTTAGCTTTGTAAGCTTTGAAACTTGATTGGTAGTATAACCAGAGACTGGGCTCCTGGGGACTGACTCACACTTAACCAAATTCACAAGAGACCAATATATCAGCCAGAATGCCAATTGATTAATTTATAATGAGAAGTATAACCTCCAAGTGGAACAGATACTAGTGTTTGCTGATCAGCATATAATCTCCCTGTAGGCATATTTACACGAGGAGCTAAATGATACTAAGAACGTTGCTTGGTGAGGATGGACTCACAGCAAGGGGAGTTCAAAGGATAATTTTAATGGTTCATGTCATCAAGCTATGAGAGTCTGATACCTCCATCTCCACTATTGGGCTAGACCTCCAGAACAGTGCTGAGGATGTCAGCCTCCGTCCCAGTATCTCTGCCTCCTGTCTTGCCCTCATACAATACAGATGATCTATTTAAGCCTAGGTCTGACAATATCATTCATTTGATCCGCTGACTTTAATATAAATTCACAGTCTAGACTCATCATTACAAAAAGTTTAAAATATAGAGAAAAGTTGAAAAAATAAGACAATGAGCACCTATACACCTATACACCCACCATCTGGATTCAACAGTTGTTATCATTTCGCCACATTTACTTTGTGCATGTGTGTGTGTGCACATGTGCACTGAGTCCACACTCTTTAATAGAGTTTTCTAAACTCTTCATGTTCTGGCACAACCTACTTGACCTGCTTCACTCCCCTTGGCTTCCCCTTTGCAACTTACATCCCTGATATACCTAACCACTGAGTGATAGTTCCTTGAATGTTCCCCAGGGTTCTCATGTAATATAGTATTGCATATGCCTGAATATCCTTACTCTCTTTTTTCTTGATTAACTCGATTTGTTCTTCAAGACTCAGCCACGTGCATGTTGCCATAGCACCCTGTACTCTTCTCAGTGATGACATGTATTACACTGTACTGTTATTGTTTATTGACCTCTCTGACCTTCCTAGTACACTGCGAACTCATCGAGGCAGGGACTGTTTCATTTGTCTCTGTATACCTGTTAAATTCCTTTAACAAATGTCTTGTGCTTAGTAGGTGTTCAGCAATAAGAAAATCCAACTGCCTGCCAGATGGTGCTACCCAGTTACATCATGAGTACCTTGAATTCAACAGATCAAAACTGAACTCACTTCTCCTCCTACCCACTCTACACATTTCAAACCATCCTCCTAATTAAATGCCATCCAGTCTTCCAAGCCAAAAACCTCAGAGCAATCCCTAAGTCTTCCCTCTCATTCATCCTCCAAACAAGCCCTGGTGATTCTATCTTCCAAAATACATTACCAATCTGTCCAATTCTCTTTATCTCCACTACCCATCTCGTCCAAACCACCTTCATTTCTCACCTGAAGCACTGCCAACAATCCTCTGTCTGGGCTCCCTGCTTCTATCCTTGTCTCTTCCAATCTATTATCCACAGAGAAGCCAGATGATCTCTAAAATTCAGAGCTGATTATATTACTTCCTGCTTAAACCCTGATTATGTTACTCCTTGCTTTTGGGTCAGGTTCAGGCTCCCTAGCTTTACCTAATGCACCCTCAAGAACTGACCCCTTTTCTTGTATTGTTCTCTGCCTTGAAAGGCTAATGCTCTCAAGCTCAGCACAGGTGCGACCTCCTCTGGGCAGCTTTTTCTTACTTCCTAGTCTGGGTGAGCTCCTCTTTGCTATCACCTACTACTGCCCTAAGCATACCTCTATCATAACTCTTACACCACATACATAGAGCACTCTGTACACACTACCATGATCAGTACACTTGTTTGTCTCATCAAAGCTAATTTATAAGCTTTTTGAGAGCAGAGTTAATGTCTTTTTAAAATCTCAGTGTTTAGCCCATGATTGGCATATAGATTGCAATAAATAATTAAGAATCAATGGATAGTAACAAATGTCTCTCCAAAGTTCATTTTTGTAGATAGCTTATAAAAGATCTCTTTTCTTTTGGAGACATTCTTTCTTCAAAGTACAATATAGTCGACTGTCATGCAGGTAATATTGATTGAATATTGAATGTTCTTCACCAGCAATTTCAGACAATTTCTGGGATTGTACCATTTCTTTAAAATGGCAGATGCTACCCTTTTCTTTTCCCCTAGGTAGTTTTTCTCGCAGAGATTAATGTCATCAGTAGTTGGGGGTGCCATGCCCTTGGTCCCATATACCTCCCTTGACCTCTAAAGTCCTTTTCGATACCTATGGTTCATGTTTCACAAAACTGCCCATTTATTTGGATTCTAGGTTCTGTTTGCTTATGGTGTTAATTTTCCTCTAGGTTTCTCTCAAGCCACTGGGGCATTCAGCGCAGAACTGTCCCATGCTTAATCTTTGCAAACAATATTGATTAAGTAAATGTTGGGCCAGTCAGTGACTGAGGGGAGTGATTGCTCAGGAATTTAACAAATGTTGGGCTGACTAAAGTAAATTATATTTCTTTGAACTGAAAAAAATGGCTAAAACTAAGCATCTTGAACATTACTCTCTCTGATCATTACCTCAAATTAACAACCCGAAGATTATTTTAAAAGTATTAGATCCCTGAACCTGTTTAATAATGTTAGTGTTTAACAGATATTCTTACACTCTGCTAAGCAGTGTTGTAAGTGTTTTATGCCGTGAACTCATTTGATCATCTAGACAACTCTCTGGGGTAGGTAGTATTATTATCCCTATTTTACAGATGATGAGGAAACTGAGGCACAGAGAGATAATTTCCCCAAGGACAAGAGTTATCCCTGTCAGCTGCCAGATGTATTCTCTCATTTTAATCTAATGCTTATTTATTGAGCACCTACTAAATGTGGTAACTGACAGAATAGACAAAACTACACTTAAAGTAAGAAGAAATCTTAATGCAATAGTGACATGAGTGAATAGTCAAGGTGAGTCAGGCTCTTTTTACTTAGTGGGAAATGGAGAAAGAGTATGTAGTTAAATGGCGCAGACATACCTGTTTGGGTAAATCTGGTTTGTGGCAGCTGAAGAAAAGACACTTAGTTTTGAGGTGTATGAAAACAGTCATTCTTTCTTGAGGGCTAAGATGACTTTTAGAAGGGGCATCTGATGCAGTTTGTTTATTTATTTGATGCAGTATATTTAGCATGAGGTAAGGGCAAGAAGGAAATACACAGGTATGACGCTTGTTTGGAGCAGGAAAAGAAAAAGTTAAAAAAAAAAAGTAAGGCGCTCTTCTTGCTTCCTCCCGCCCAGAGAATTAGTAAACAGCCTGCTTAAACACCAACCACCTACCCAAATTCTCTTGACTGCAACTCAGACTCTTCAGATCTGAGCTTTTTAGAAGTACTTTCGAGTTCCGGCACCTTAAGCGTGAAATGCCCTGTAGTCAAACGTTCTGAGGGAAACATATATTCTTGCAATTCAAAACGGACTTGAATCCTACCAGCGAGCTTTTCTGTTGGTCGATTCTATAGTTCCTCGCCTGCCCATTTTTCATAAAACGACACGCCACACCTGACCGACCACACAACCACCGATCCTATTCTAACGCCGGCCCATCCTGTTACCCTTTTAAGAGGCGGATCCCGCAGTGTCCTTTCCCCCCTCCCAGCCACCTCTACCCCCAGTCGGCTGGGCGGAGCTTCGCGCTAAAGCCCCGGAGCCCGACGCGGCCGCGGCAGTGGCGAGGAGGACTGGAGCTGCGAAGAGCTGCAGCTGCGGCGGCGGCATCTCCAGCGACTTACGTGACTCTCAGCTCCGACCCCGCTCGCCGCGCGTGCCAGTCTCTCCCCGCCCCCTCCCCACCTGGCGCGCACCTGGTCAAGGCCAGGGTCCCGCCGAGAGCCAGGAGGGCGCGTGCCAGGGGCCCGAGGGGACCGCAGAGCGCGCGCGCCATGGGGCCGCCGCCCGGGGCCGGGGTCTCTTGCCGCGGTGGCTGCGGCTTTTCCCGATTGCTGGCCTGGTGCTTCCTGCTGGCGCTGAGTCCGCACGCCCCGGGCTCCCGGGGAGCCGAAGCGGTGTGGACCGCGTACCTCAATGTGTCCTGGCGGGTTCCACACACCGGAGTGAACCGCACCGTGTGGGAGCTGAGCGAGGAGGGCGTGTACGGCCAGGATTCGCCGCTCGAGCCCGTGGCTGGGGTACTGGTACCGCCCGACGGGCCGGGGGCGCTCAACGCCTGCAACCCGCACACAAATTTCACGGTGCCCACCGTCACGAGGGACTGGGGCAGCAGCGTGCAAGTCTCCTGGTTGGCCCTCATCCAGCGCGGCGGGGGCTGCACCTTCGCGGACAAGATCCATCTGGCTTACGAGAGAGGGGCGTCTGGAGCCGTCATCTTTAACTTCCCGGGGACCCGCAATGAGGTCATCCCCATGTCTCACCCGGGTGAGTGCAGCTACCTAATTGCGCCCCATCAAACCCTGCCAAGGCCATTTTCTCTTATTTTCCTCAGTGTTCTCCCCGCCCCCCGCCCCCCCACGGTCCCCTTGCTCCGAAGGAAAACGAGTGTCCTTTTTGTCCCCACCGAGTGAGGCAGGGTCCTCTCTTTCCCGAGATTCACCCTGCATAGGGGGTTGGGCGGAAAAATCCTTTAGAATTTGCCTCTGGTGGAAAAGGGTAAAAGCAAACGGAGTGCGGAGGCTGGCAACTCGAGGAGGACTGTTTGGGCTCTTTGCGTCGTCTTTTCCCGGGGTTTCACGAGGGTGGCTTGCGCTGGATTAATTGGTTGGTGGTGGTCATTGGCTTTGAAATGACTGGGGAGAAGCCTACTGGAGAAGCCGGCCTGGAAATCCCTTCCTCAGTCATGTCTTGTTGACAGCCTCAGGCCCAAAGCAGATTTTTCCCTCCTCTCTCCTTGTTTTTCTCTGTATGTTTCCTAGTATCAAGTACAAGATTGTGTTACCGTGCCCTGTTAACCTCATTGCAGTTTGGTAGAAACTTTGCTTAGCTTTTGGGTTATTCTATGCCCAGGGGTCTCAGGTTCCAAGTGATTGCTAGTATCAGTGCTTTCCTCTGCTTTTGAAAAATCTGATTTAGGTTATTGAGTGGTGAAACAGGTTGATTAGTGTTATTGAAAAAAGAAGAGGTTTCTGCGTGAGGCTGGCAAAGGCCTAGACTTTGGAAAATGTAACCCAGGTAGGTCTTAAATTTGTGGAAATGAGGTGGGTTACTATTTTTCCCTCTTCAGTTATCCTTCCAGAAACCTTTTCCTCTATTTGTGATTAGGTATCCATACCATATGTACATAGTGATCCTAGGCCCCAAAACACAAAGGAAAAAAAACTGGGGGAGAGAAAGGCACAGACACGTTATAGCAGTATATCATAGTTGTTGAGAGCTGGGCCTCCAGTCAGACCTTGGTTAAATTCCGGCTCCACTGCTTACTTGTCCTGTGACCTTGAGCAACTTATTTGAAGTCTTTAAGTCTGGGTTCCCTCATCAATCAAATGGGAAAGAACTAAGAAGGAACCACTCCCACACATTTGCCTTGAGGATGAGATGAAATAATGCCTGTAAAGAGTTTGACACCTCATCCTTTTCGGTAAAGGTTAGGGGATAGGATTAGCTTTTTAGGAGTCTCTGGAGAGATGAATCTGGAGGCTGTGTGTATTTTCTAAAAACACTGGCCCTGCCTAGAGAGCACTTGCAGTGAGTGGCTGGGTGGTATAATGGAAAGAGCACTGAGCTGGAACTCGGGAGATTTGAGTTATTTTAGTCCCTTCTCTGTCTCTACCAGCTTTGTGACCTTGTACAAGTTACTCACTAGTCAAATGATAGTATAGAGGTAGGGGGAGGAGGAAGCCAAGTTGGCAGACCATGCAGAGACAAAAATGAACTAGATGAACTCTAGATGAATTCCAGCTCTAAAATGCTGTGATTCTTAGATTTTATGTTGATTAAAGGAGCAACTGTGTCTCTTTTGGTTGATAATTTATTGATTAGAATGAAATTACTTTTTAAAGGCTGTTAGAAATGAAGAATAAGGACAATTTTAAAGTCCTTACATTTTCAAGTTGGCTACCTAAATGCAAGGATTTGACTTGGCCTCCTGCACACAAGATTTATTTGCATGGATGATTTGGAATTGAAGAGTACTCTTTAATTAGAGGGTTCCTATTTAGACCACTTTCATCCTACTTCTGTTAAGGACATAAGCTTATATTTGTCTGGTAGTTTTAGGGGAAAATAAAATAAATTTGTGTTGAGCTCCCACTATGTGCCAGGAACTCTATACACATCTTACTTAGACTTTATTGGGAGACAGTACGGTATACTAGGAAAAGCCCAGGCATTGTAGTCAAGAATGGGAATCAAATTCTGGATTTACCACACAGTAGCTTTGTGTCCTTGGTCAGATTATTTAACTTTACTGAATCTCAGTTTTCCCATCTATAAAATAGAGCTAATATTTACATTGCTGTGATTATCAAGGATAACGTATGCAAACTACCTAGCAGAAAATAAACACTCATTCAAAGTTATTACAAGGGAGAGGGTATAGCTCAGTGGTAGAGTGTGTGCTTAGCATGCACGAGGTCCTGGGTTCAATCCCCAGTACTTCCATTAAAAAAAAAAGCTAAATAAACCTAATTACCCCCCAAAAAACCCAAAACCAAACAAACAAAAACTAAAGTTATTACAATAGGCTAATGCTAACAAGATGCAAAAAACTGATGAACAAACATGTGCTTATGCAACTGTCAGTGTAAAAATGTTGGGAATCTAAGCATGGCTTTTTGTTTCAGGATACTGTGAAATAAATATAATATTAAAATTATTAAAATATAATAGCAATATATTATTTTATTAATAAAAATAATACAAGAAATAAAGCCCTAAATATTGATCACTTAATTAAAACAACATTCAGAAAAGTGTTTTGATACTTTAAAAATGTATTATTATCTGAGATGATGACTGTAGCAGTGTTTACCCTTAGGCTAACTAGCTAAAAGAGCTAGCTGGTTCCTTGAGGTATGGAATTACATTTCTCCCTTGAAGTCCTGGAGAAACGACTTTTCAACACAAGGGGAAAATCACTTTGCATTTCATCCCCGTATGTTGTTAAATATTTGTTTGCAAAGTGCTGTGGTGTTTGCTCTGCTCATTCCTGAGCACAGTCCCAGGGTTCACTGTAATCTCTGGTCAAAAACGATTTTCTCTGGGATCTTAGTGGCAAAGAGGTAGGACTGAAGTTTAAGTGTTAATTAACTTAATATATATTGCCATGAATTATACAAGGGCCACCAAATGTGGAAAAGCCATTGCTGTTGTCTTTATTTACAGAACCTTTCTTCACCCACTCTCACAGGTGCCTGTGCTTGAATTGTCTGTCCTTTGTTGGAGTTTGTGCTGATCATCCACACTCCCACCAATCACAGTCCTGTGACCATGAAGACCCATTTGTTTCAAGTAACAGAACTAACCGGTTTAGAACAGTTGACTTAAAACTTTGGTGTTTTGGAGAGAAACTCCACTATATGTGAGCAATCAGTTAGGAAAATGAGGCTGTTTTTATGCATACCACAATTTCCCAAAGGGTAGCTGGAGCCATACAGCAGCCCATGCAGTTTGTTTCTCTATGTTATTTTGGTTGCAAAGGGTCCAGGAGAATCCTGATTCACACAGATTAAAAAAATTGTAAATGACAGATTTTTATTAACAGCTGATCCTTCAATCTCTGGATATTTTTCATTCAAATTGATCCAGAGACTGGGAAGAGAATTCGGAGAAAGTTTTGGTTTCACCGTTTAATTACTAGTCACATGTCTCATCTTAAACCTGAAAATCAGATAACAGGCAGCCAAAACTTTGAGTAAGCACTAAAGCCATGTAAAATGTAGGACTGTCTCGGTGAAAACACATTATGCGTGCTCTTGTTATATTGCACAACTGACTCTGCTGCTTTTGCCAAGCAGATGAGCCCAAGCCTTGCAAGCTTCCTAGTTGAACACAGCCCACGGGTTGAAGTGGTGTCAGTACTTCCTTGTACAATTTTCCTTGAGTCAACATATGCAGACACGAACTTATTGAAAGACCTGTGCAGAGCTGCAGGCTTCATAATCCGTGACGCACTTGCAAGAACTTGAAACACATTCACGAGGATGGCGGGAGAAGCATTATTCCTGAGGGCTATAAAAAAAAGTGAATGAACCACACTGCTTAAATTAATGATTTGGTGGTCTCCCATGGGATACAGTTTGCTATATAAAACAGTAGCTTGTATGCGTTGTTGGAAGACAGTTAAGCATATTAAGAGCATGGCCTCTGCCACTTACTATTTTTAAAATCTTAGGCCAGTATTTCACTTCTGTAAGTTTCAGTTTTCTCCTGTGTAAGATGGGCATAATAACAAACTTGTCTGATAAGGTTAGTGGAATTTAATACAGATAGTGTTTGTTTAACACAGAGCCTGACCTTTAGGGAGCTACTATAACTTTTTTTAGCACAATTAAGATAGTTAAATGTATTTTAGAAAATGGAACTTGAATTGTATGTTAGTATATTGTATGTTAGTATATAATTTGAAAATGAATAGCCCAGAGTACTTCACAGTCCCTATTACCTGACATGTAACTGTAACCCTTTAGGCGTAAAGTGACTAGACTGAATTCTTTTGTTTTAATTTTTTTTTCAATTGAGGCACTGAGGATCGAACCCAGGACCTTGTGCATGCTAAGAGCTCACTCTACCACTGAACTATACCCACCCCTCTAGACTGAATTCTTGATAAGAAAATGACCTTTTGGCCCACCTATGTTTTGTCATTCTTTTCTCAAATAACTGCTCCTTCAAACAGCCAATCTTTCAATTCACAAAGGACTTTGGAATAGGATTTTCCACTGATTTATGGCCACCCAACCCCTTCTCAACCATTTGACATTTAGTTTTTATTCTGTTTTTTTTTTGTTTTTGTTTGTTTGTTTTGCCCCCGAGGAAGCTGACTTCGAAAAGAACCTTTTTTAGTAGAATGAGTGGTTCAAAAGAAGATGAGAACAGATTGAGTGGTGATGATTTACCAATGTAAAACACCATTTCAAAATCTCTTCCCATGTGCATCCTTTTGGGCTTCTTGCAGTACTGTATTTGATACTGTTGACCACTTCTCCTTTTGAAACTTTCCCAAGCAGTCTCTTGCTTCTCTTGCCTCTCTTTGGTTTCATTTCTGTTATTTTACTAGTGCATTCATCTCGCACCTCTTCCTCCTGGCATTCACACCCAGGCCTCCAACTCTCCTCTAATAAATAACCGCCACATCCAGTTGATACCATCACTTTCAATCTTTTCATGTATGTTCCTTTCTCCCTGGCAATTATTATTACCCTGCTTTCAGTTCCTGTGTCTTCTCTGGGAATAAATACTTAGCCTCCTAATTGGTCTCCCTG